TATATATATATACACAATACTACGTTTAACGTACATACATGTCCATTAATTTTTAAGATATTATGATATCTTTGTTAATGTAATGCGCTTTGAGCATTTTTTTCAGAAAATGTAAATGCGCAGCCTAAATTATGCTATTTGATATTATTATTAGTTTCTGATTTGATGATAACAATCTTTCTACCGACTTAAACTTACCTCAATCTGAATGACCGGCTGGTCAATCTTGTAGAGAATGATATCCTTCAGTTCCACACGCACCCGGCTAGCGGTGATGAACTGCACACGGGCGGAGGTTGAAAGTTTGTATCCTGAGTTCTGTCTGGAGCCTGGGTTCAGGCTGGTCTGAATCTGGCTCTCATATTTGTACAGGTATTGCACACGGGGGCGGAAGGCTGTTGAAGGAGGTGGGACAGGGAGGGTCAGGTGGAGAGTGATGGATAGGGTGGGTGAGTGAGTGAGTGAGTGAGTGAGTGAGTGAGTGAGTGAGTGAGTGAGTGAGTGAATACGTGAGTGAGTGAGTGAGTGGAGAGTAGAGTGGCAAGTTGGAAGGTTGTCTGAGTCGTTAGGAAATGGTAATGGAGATTTTTAATATCATAATGGAGTGTGGCAGAGTGGTATTATTACTGGTCACAGACAGGATTGTTACATACAGCTTCTTGTGTTGCTGTACTAAGTTAGTGAGTGGCCGGTTGTGTTGTTTAGTTTGTTGGCTGGTTTGTTTGTTGGTTTGTTGGTAGGTTGGTCGGTGGGTTGGTGGGTTGGTGGGTGGATTGCTAGTGGATTGGTTGAGTGGTTAGTAGGTTGGTGGATTGGTCGAGTGGTTAGTAGGTTGGTTGGTTGGTTTTACGAGCGGTTTCTTGATTGGTTGTTTGTTTTGCTGTACCATCAAATTTTAACTATTTACTGATTGGCGGCGTTCTAAACCTATTTCTCATTTGAACAATTTTTCTTCACTGCAGTCTGTGGTGTAACGGTGAAGCGCTTCGCCACCGCAAGCAGAAGACGTGAGTTTGGTTCCGGAGTGGGGAGACTTTATTGACTTTCCCTAATCTCTCTGATGGAATGTTGTATCCGTGCCAGCCCAGATTGGCCTTGACACGCAGGGTTCAAGCCCGCCTCCTAAATGATCAAAGTTGGGTCGAATTTTGCGTAAAACTTCTACAACAATTACATTTTAAAAAGTATCCAGTAAACTTATCATTGTTAAAGAATGATTTCAAAGTATACTTTTACAATCCTATTAGTGTTTTACAAAAACAAAACAAAAAGCTCACCTTGTTCTTCAATGACGTTACTGGCAACTGAGGAAGAGAGCATGAAACAGAATCAGTTTTTGTGTAGATACAACAGAAATACTCACACATACATATGAATTATAGTGATTGGTTATCGGGTCATCTGGTGTGGTTTGCTTCTTTTTTCTTATCAAACATGTATCATCCTCATCTCTTATCCTATATTTTGTGTACGGTACTCTGTAGTTTTGTCTTTCATTTTCGGAGGTTTATAATATTATCTATTTGAGTTGCAAGTGCTGAAAAATCCCGTACTAAACATAGCGAGATATATACAATCTAAGGTGCTTTGCATATATCGCTGTGCATCCAGCCCCATGGCCGCAAAAGTAACTTTCCAGAAACTCCCTAAATGACCTGCTTACTTCTTTTTACCTTATCGGTCTCCATGTTGGACATACAGTGATGCAGTCTGTTCAGCGTTTGTCTCTATAATTCACATAATAGATAGTAATTTTGTTTGTACCGATTTCTGATTACACATTTGCTCTGAAGAAAATGGGTTAAAAAAATTCCCTTATGATCCAATGTCCAACTCTTCGAGCTTGGAATCGAACTCATAACTTTTTCTTTCAAGTCCGACACCTAACTACCCGCTTTATTAAGACACCCTTTGTCTAAAAACATTCCATTTTTTCAACTCTAATTTTGTTTACACATTTATATTATAGTAACGCATCCAAACTCAAAATACCCCTTTCACAACAATAATAAGGCTACGAATGTACAAGATCTCTTTGTGTAATGTTAGGAGAGCCTGTATTGTGAGAAAAATGTAACACCCATTGCCTAATAGAGAGGCAAATTAAATTAAGTGTACACAACAACGAGGTAGTGTACCGCAATGACAAAGAAATAAAACACAATAACAACAACAAAAAGTACAATTTAAAAAAAAATTATACAGAAAAACTATACCACAATATCAAAACTGTAAAGTAAGAGCATGCGTTTAACGCCCTGATAAACACCTCAGAATTTGACGCCCGTCTCAGATAGCACCGAGCCAAATGTGATGAGAGCTTTGAAAACCTCACTAAATGAATGCCCGGTCTGAGATTCCAACCAGGGTCATCCGCTTTGCGGTCCAGCATGATACCACCTGAGCTAACGGAAGGTCCACAGCAACATAACAAACATGTTTACCACAACAACGTAACAAACATGTATAGCACAACAACGTAACAAACATGTTTACCACAACAACATAACAAACATGTATACCACAACAACAAAGAAGTATACCACAACAACATAACAAACATGTTTACCACAACAACGTAACAAACATGTTTACCACAACAACGTAACAAACATGTATAGCACAACAACGTAACAAACATGTTTACCACAACAACATAACAAACATGTATACCACAACAACAAAGAAGTATACCACAACAACATAACAAACATGTTTACCACAACAACGTAACAAACATGTATACCACAACAACAAAGAAGTATACCAACACAACAACCAAAAAGTACAACGCAACAACAAAGGAAAACAAAACAACCACAAAGAAGTACAATTTCGAGTACAAGTTGCACACATTAAAGATCCCTTTGTGGTCGTTAAATAGATAAGACCTGGGTTCGGCAGCAACACAGTCAAAATTCAAAATTAATTCCTACCAAACCGAATTGCCTAATGTGTCCCGCGCGCTCATATGACCGTATGCAGTTGCGAGCACCGTAAAACACTTACCCCCTCCCCCCTCCAAAACCAGCAATTTAAAAAAGTGCAATTATAAGTAGCGTTTGTATAGCGCTAATTCCCGCTCAACAGCGAGCTCTGTGCGCCTTACATTTTATACTATTACCCCAGCAGACTTGATAGCATTCTGAGACAATCTCAACTTCCTGAGAAGCAAACAGTGCAAGCCACCATTTATAGCCTCTAAAACACTAGCATACTGACAAGATCTTTCACTGTCTAAGACAGATGCATAATGTATGTGTCCCAACGCAGTGGAAAAAGGCGCTGGTCAATTTTTAGGCATATGGATTTAATGGCATCATCTTAAAGCTTGTTAATTTGTCTATATTTCGACCAAAAAAATACCGTCTGTCGTGAATAGAAATCGAGAGATTTGCGATGAAGGAGGTGGGGGTCACATGGTTTGAGCAGTAAAATTAGCAAGAAAATGGGAGTAAACAATTTGTAACTTCCATGGCTTGATAGTCTTTGGAAACTGAAAATTTATATTGTTCGTGCCTTTAATCAGCGTTTTTCAGAAACATCGACTCTGAAAAGTGTTCTTAAATGGAGATAAAAGGTTTTGAGCAACAAAAAAAAAGGGAAAAAAGATAGAAACAAATTGGCTTTCTTTGATTTCATTATTTTTAACGAGTACCTGATTTCACCACGATGCCTCACATAATATCGCAACAACAACACATACAACACAACGGCACACGGCCACCAAACATCCGACTCACCAGCCAGTCCAACAAGAAAGGCGAGCAGAAGAGACCTCATGATGAATGACGTCTCAATCTGGAGCTGATCTGACCAGGCTGCACGTCCAGGCTATATACTCTAACTCTGACCCCCAGGCTTGACCCCAACTGCCACTCAACTGTCCCCCACGTCATGACGAACGACGTTATTCGAAGACAACCAAAACATAAACAAAGTAAACAAGATGAGCCATATCTGCGCCATGCAACCCGGTGCTGGAAATGTCAGTCTTCGTGTTTTGACAGAGTTGACTCGGGATTCTTGTAGGGCTGAGCGCTTTATTCCTTCGTCAAGCCTGAAGTACAGTGTACTTT